TGAAAAATAATGTGTTTTTTGAACATTAAAGCATGTCAACATATTCTGTTACACCAAATACACAAAATAACGATCTTTAAAATAGCATAATATGACCCCTTTAAACGCATAGACACTTAAAATGAACAAATGGCTTAGCATTATACAACAAAGTTTTTTTTAAACATATATATATATATATATATATATATAATAGAATAACAATATAGTTTATAATTTAATAATTATAAATATATATATATATATATATATAAAATAAAATGGAATATATTTTGTATTGAGTGGGTTGCTTTTTGAGGAAAAACATGTTGAGATCACATGAACAGCTGTTATTGGACATTTTCACTTAATTGTGGCTGACTGTAGAAAGTTCTTTTTTTTTAAATGCTTTATCTAGTGACAACTGACAAAACAAATGCAAAGTATAATATATATGCATATATATATATATATATGTATGTATGTGTGTGTGTTATAACAACAATGACAATATTAACAGTAATATATATTTTTTAATTTTTATTAAATAGAAAACAGAAAATACATTTAAAAAAACATAATTAATTCCAAACCAAATACAAAAGTCTGAAAAAAGGTTCTGGATAAAAGTTCAAGTCTTTACAATAGTTTTCAAGATAATGATATAAAATAATGAATGAATTAAGAATAAAACAAATATTTTTTTTTAAGGTTTGTCATAAAAAATAAGATATTTTTATTTTCCAAAATAATGTCAGCTCCAGAAATCTCCCTTAATAAAACCTTAAAATTACACCAGAAAAATAAATAATACTCTCATCATCAATCTTTTTCTTAAATCTGTATATGGCCTGGGATACATTTTAAAAGAAACAATCTCAAATCGTATTGGTGATACAATATTTACTAGATACCATAAAAGCCACTTCCAAATAATATCCTGGAAACGTGAATTTCTACATTGGCATTGTAAACTCAAGATATATGTGTAATGCTACATCCACACCACTAGGTGTTAGTGTACGTCCGCGACAACGTAGCCATTTTTGTTTTAGTAGTTGTGCTATTGAGTGCACCATTGTTGACATGTTTAAACAAAATGCCATAATTGCACCTTCCAGTGAAAACAAAAGACTCTCTAGTGCAGGATTTCTCCAATCTCCACTTTTGAGTGCAATGCCCGCATCTCAACAACCGATGCATAGAACCCAAGTCCCCATCCTACATTGATTTTCTTTTCTTTTTCAATAATCCATTACACTCACATGTTACAATACTGAAGAAAAGATCTGTTGCTAGTTCCTTATCATCATGCCTTGACATCAGTAACTCTGTGGTTTGTGTGCAGGTTCAAGAGGTATCCGGGCCCTGTTCTTGCAGGATGAGCTCCTAAAGGCCTGTCTCTCACTGTCCCATTCCTCCTCTGTTCTCATCACCACTGGTTTCCCCACACACTACATGCACAACCCCCCTGAAGAGACTGATGGCCCGCCCGGGGCCATCGCCATGGCAGCTATGCTTCAAGCACTCCGCAAAGAGGTGGTCATCGTGACGGATGGGCGCGCTTTGGAGATGAATCAGCACATCATGCGGGATGCTATAAAGAAAGGTGCCTCCATCATTGCTGATTTAGTGTTTTTGAGATATTCTTTGGTTGTGCTAGCCAGACGTGATAAAGCGACATGCAAATTAACATTTTAGGGGGTAGACTTGTCATGTCTGGTTAGGACAGGGTCTTACTGTACCATGTTTTCTGAATGTGTGTGTGTGTGTGTGTGTGTGTGTGTGT